TTTTCGATAACTCAGCCATTTCTTGACAGATCCTGCTCATCTTCGAACTCGACCGAGACATTGTTAAGACTGAACTATGTAGAAAATTTCATCGTGATCGGACTCTCCTTTCGAAAGTTATCGTGTATACGGCCGGCCGGCCGGACGGACATACTGACCGATTCTAGAGTGTGCTCACTTTTTGAGTACACAAAATAAGAACTCTCTTTCTTATATATAAGGTTTTGTCAATCAAAAATAAAGGTTTTCTTTCATACCATCGGATGTTGCATTCCCTTGATCACTACCCGTTAATATATCTAATTTTTGTGTTCTATCCCATACAATTTGCCCATTGATTTTAAAATGTCGAATGCGATGCATTGGAACTCCATACTAGAAATAATCACAATGTATTTTATTCATTCGAGTTAAATCGTATTACCTCATGTTCATGAACTTTTTTAAATTCATTAAATGGAATTTCATGTATGCCTGTAAAACGATCTTCATAACCAATTATAACTTGTGATCGATCAATTGTTTTATCATGTAATATTCGATTAAATATTAAATCAGCACCACGAAATCTATGTGATATTGTTGATATATCTTCTGTTGATGTAATTTCTGTTGATTTTTTCGTTTTATATTTTGATTTTTGATTTATTGTTGTATTTTTTAATAAATGATCTTGAATTAATTGAATAATAGATTCAAGTGAAATTGATTCAGCCGATTTTTGAATAAGTTGATCAAAATATTTACGAATATTTGTCCATCGATCATTATTTAATGGACATTTATTTGATGATTTTATGATTCTTAAGTCATGTACATTATTAATAGTTAATGATTTATTTAAAGTATTAAGTGAATCAAAGAGAAAACTTATTTGTATATCATAATCGAGTTTGACTCGAACTTGTTCATAATCTCCTGATGGTTGAATTTGAAGATGATCATCTGAACGTAAAATTGAACGAAGAGAATTTAATTCATCTGTAATTGTTGTTGTATTTTTGTTGTTGTCGTTGTCATCCATGATTATATAGATTTATAACTATTCTATAAAATTGTTTTGTTCTCCTGTCAAGGTAAGAACGAATAACGTGTTTATGTTCCATGTGCTTATTTTTATAAGGACAGTATAAAGCATAAGAGTAATTGCGTAAGTTGAATTTCGCAATCATCACGTAAAATGATAAAAACTGAGTCAAGTAGTCTAAAATAGGTAAACACAATAGTCACTTATGAAGAAATTACTTAATTAATTTTTTTTTATTTTTGAAATCATATGAATAAGTTTATCGTCATTTTATTTAACGATAGACGTCGCTGGAAGATGATTGTAATATCAACGATATAAACTGTTCTGTTTAGTATTTTATGTCAAGAAAGAATAATAAAATCATAGGCTTGATAAAAAGCACGTCATTTATAGAAAATAATCGACTACAATTATGTTTTATTAAAACTCTAATGAAATGTTGTTGTGTTAATATGAGGAGAGTGAATTATAGTTCATAATACTGCTACGGACCAAGGAGGAAAAAGCTGTTTGCAATGAAATCAATCAGAAATGGGTCACTTTTAACCCGTTTCTCCGCTATTGTACGCATAAAGCATGTTGTTGTTCGGGTCACATAAAAGAGGATCTCTATAAATCCCTAGATTGGCCCAAACAACACCATGGTACGTCCATATTGGAGTAAAAAAACAACTTGAAACTATATGACATTTTTCTAAAACAATGACTGCAACCTAATTTTATGTAAATTATGAAAATTTTTAGACATAGTGGTGTGAAATAGAAGAAACGTAAACTTAGTGCTCAGTGTTCAGTAAGAAAACTTAATTTTAAATTAAATTAAAGGATCCACTCTATTGTAAATCAAATCAATCCTGGGAATAAAAAATTCAGCTTTTCCCCCCTTGCTATGGACTTTCTTTAGTTGGACGGATGTTGCACATTTGATGGATATTGTTGTTCTACTGTCAATCTCTTTTTCGATCTGTTAAATAAACTGATGAGGGACATCTTCCCGGATGACCGATCACTTTTGCACGAGACACGTATAATTGTTACCCTGTGTAATCGAAATTTTTGACTCCAATTACAAATTCAAGTCCATCAGGATTTTCTTTCTGACAGTGATTCGATCTATGAGAAACGTCGACAAGATTTTTCGGCATCGAATATATCGTTATTAAGAAAAGAACAAGATTCACTTCTCAAAAAAACATTAACCAATTACTGTTTTCACAGAAAAATGTTGACACTTTCAAGTAAAGAACGAAAAGCGCACTATGTACATATTTCAAGTTGGAAAGGTGCGATCGTCAACGGTCCTAAATAAGTCATGAACTGAATTACATTTCTAGAGTACTTAACTTTTGCAATTAAAATTCAACAAACAAATCAATGGTAAGTATTTGTTTTACAAAAAAAAAAAAAAAATTTATTTCTTTATTTACATTAATTCAAACAACTAATTAAACAGTAAGTATTTATTTAAAATAAAGAAATAATATTTCATGTGCTTCTAAAGAGGAAGAATAGAAAGTGGCTTCCTCTTGACTGAGAAGAAGTCTATGTGAATATGATGATCACGTGCAATTCATATTGCGTTCCATACAATGCAATGAGATAGACTGTGTATGTTGGAAACTACAGTCGTGTATAAAGGTCGTAGTTTTCGTCCTGGAATTTTTTGGAACCACAATATCTTCTGAAAAGTCGACTTGCAAAATTTCTACACAACAACGATTTGATTTCAGAGATAATTTCATTGATACCGATACTATAGAAAGCGTTTTGGACTCATATATTTGTACTTCTTCTTTTTTGCTATTGGTTGATTTCCATATGAAAAATAGAGTTACTACGATGTATAAGACACTTGAATGTTTTACTGATGTCATTTCGACATTGGCTCCGAAAAGATTCTTCTCAGTCACTCCAGTTCCGTGATTCGAATGATCGAAATCGGTTTTCGGAGTACTATGCACGGCGCTACATATAAGAATGTGAAATTCTTTATGCTGAGTCTTAATATCAGGATGTTAAGGATATTTAGGCTTTTATATACCCTATGTCCTAATTAAATATGTAAAAGTACTGCTTTTTATCGAAGTTATTTTTTTCATATAATGGCAGAACGAATAAATTGTATATTTTATGTATTACATTACATCATTTCATTGAATCTACCACTTGTTTTGGAAATGTATCTTAACTAACAGTATCAATGATTTCTATATTGAGGAAATTAGTATACGAGAGCTCAAATCGTAATTGAATCATGATGATATAGATTTGACCTCTACTATTCTAATCACATATATGTGTATTATGCATTCCTTTCGCAGTATGAAAACAAGCATGATGAAATCTTTTTACTAATTACACGTTGATACTGTTGTATATGCTCATTTCTTGAATTAATAACATGGAATTTTTTTATCATATCTAAGAACATTGCTAATATAGATTTTTAGAAAACAGTCGCTTGGAGAGAATGCTTGTAACTTTTGAAAGGAAAGTGACAAAGACCTGCTGTTTTCATTGTTGAATAGAGTATAACCAGGCATGTAGTACAATGAAATAATTGGGCCTTTAGGTAAGGTTTATCATGGTAAATCTTTGAATGCAAATTGAGTATGGGTATGGTAATGAGGTTGTCCATATCCGTGCTAGGAAACACCCGAATAGACACTCATACTAACATTCCATACTCATATATCCACACCTAAGTCCAATTTTCATTCAACGATTTACTATGGTAAACGTTACTTGAAGACCTGATTATTTCATAGTATTACATGCCCCGCTATGTTCTATCCAACAATGAAAAGTGCAGGTCTCTATCACGTTTTCTTCAAAACTTATAAGCATTCTCTTCAAGCAACTTTTTTTTATAAAAAATGGATATTTGTTATAAATCATGCAATACAGTCTCTTTTTTTGTAAAGTATATATATGCTTACTTTTTCTCTATTTTCTCCATTGCTATAGACTTTACTGAGTATAATACTGTTATGATTAGTTTGTGAATCTATAACAAAGAACAAAAGCAAATGCCACATGACTGTTGGTAGTTCATATAAGAAATACTGCATTGATTTATAGCTTATGAGAGAAAACCCCCAGGTGGTGCGTCGCGTTTGAGATGAGACACTGCTTAGTATGTAGGTCGATTGAAACTAAAAAAAAATCTAGAAGGATTTCTCCACATTTACTGTCCTTTCGGACTTATGGTCATTTCACTGGTTCTTTTTTACCCTTGGCACGGTATTTTGAAAGAAATCGAACAAACGAATTTTCATTTGAAAGTTCCTCAATAAACAGCTCTTGAGACCATTAGATTATGCTAAATACTTAAACCAAAAGGAGCGATCCCTTCTTGAGATATCAAATCCCTCAAAAACAATAGCTTCCTATAAAAATCGAGAGACAGTCTAGTTGTTTTGGTGATTTCGTATTTCAAGAAGGAGTCGTTCTTTTTGGCTTAAGTTTTTAGCATATTCTAATGATCTTAAGAATTGTTGATGGACAAAATTTCAGATCACAATTCGTTTGTTTGATTTTTTTAGATAAATACAGTACTTAGGGTAAACGATCCAATTCAACACCCATAACTCTAGAGAAACAGTGTATCGAGAGAAATGCTTCTAGTCTTTTTCTACACTCAACAGAAACCCGCACTAATGAGCGGTATCTCATATCAAATGTGAGTTACCATCCAAAGTGGTTCCGTTGTGAGTACTTGAAACTTGAGGTTAAACTATCATCAAAAAATATCAATGTGGATATTTTATCTAATGCTGCATGGTAAACTGATTTTATATTGATTTTCATGAGAAACTACTGTTGTTAACAATGACTTGGTAGTTCTCATATGGAATATCCAAAGAGCCAACGACCGCTATGAATCTGATAATCGGTATGAAAGCAATGAAATGCATGCATTCATGTATATTTTGACATAAACACAATTGATCAGTTAGGAGATTCGCCTAGTATTTAAGTTTTTAATAATTATCATTTGACTGCATCCTACGTATTTGCCACAATTAGAATTCATTCTACGTTTTTTTTTTATTAACTCAAAATTCAATATGTATTAAACATGGAATTTCTTCTTTTGATCAAATAAAATAAATGATTTGAAAGAGATTTATATATATTAACTTCAATTTGAAGTACAATGGCTTTTATTTTTACTAATTTTTCAAGATATCATTCAATAACGCAACATATTCTAAATTTTTCTTCCTGTTCAATTCATCCACATTATACAACTTATGATCATGATCAGTAGGATACTCTTGACAGTATTTAAACAGATTTTTGTTCATTTCCTCATTATATCATTGTTTGAATAATACTTCCTGTACCAGTTTTTAATGTATAAAATGACTAGCTAAGTACATAACTGTTTATTCGAACATGTCATACAAGAAAAAGTTTAACAAATAAATCAAAAACATCTTTTATCAATCATATTATACATATTTATTTTTTTCTTATTCTTTGTGGTTTTGGTTGCATTCGTTCAAGTTTCCAATCATGTATTGAGATTATTTTATAGGAAATTTTCATTGATTCTTTTCGATTTGGATATAAATTAAATTGATCAAGAAATTGATTTAACCAATAAGAAAAATTTCGATGTTGAATTAATGTTTGTGGATCAAGTTGAAAAGCAATAGAATAAAATGCTTCAGTATTATTTGATCGATATTCAATTGAATTTTGTGTTTGAATAATTAAATGACATTCTTCTTCACAATCATTTATAAAATGTGCTAAACGTGATTTCATCCAACCAATCCATTCATCAATTTCATAATTATTTTCACTTGAAAGTGTTAATTGAACAAGTGATTTGATTTTTTCATTTGGAAAATCATTATTTAATTCAAGAATTTGTTTTAATGCATTAGATTTATCTTCATA